TGCTTCCTTCTCTTCTGGGGGTACATACAACATGGCCTCTTCCTCTTCCCCCATAGATAAATTAGCTAACCACTCAGAAATATTTTTCTCCATCCTCGAGTCCTCCTTCTTTGTGCCGCTGGACTCAGCCCTCTGCTCTGCGCCTCTCCTGAACAAGGGCTCTTCCTGTTCCTCCTCTTCTACCTCCTCAATCTCTTCCTCATCTACTACTTTCATCTTCTCTTCCTCCTTCTGTAACCTCTCCATTTCTTCTTACAACTTCTTCGCCGCCTGCTCCTCCTGCACGGCCAGCTTCTTGGCCTTCTTAATCAACTCTTTGGCCTGCTTCTCTTTTCTCTCTCTAAGGACGGCGGCGGCCTGCTCTTCTTGAGCCTTGGTGTAAGGGGTGGTGCTCTTGCCACTACGCGTGTCAACCATGGTGAAAGGTGTACATCCCAAAATTAGTTCCACTCCTCACCACTTAGACTCACCCCCCTGACTGAGTTAACTTAGACTGACTCAATCTAAGGACCACAAAATCTTAATAAGATCATGCCAACTATGGTCTCTAGCCTGGACCTAAACTAAGGCTGTCACTACAGGACTTACAACTGATCAGGAGGCATTTAAGGAGATCCCCCGTAACTCCTCAGGAATTATTTAATGTCGCAAACGGGACGACGAGATCAGCCAGTCCTCTCAAGACCTAGACAGCTTGTTGTGCAGCCCACAGCTCGGATTTTGGGCCTACTGTGCCACACCGAGCAGCCCGCCGGTCTGTACCAGTCCTTGGGAGGGTTCGTGTCCTCCGGGTCAGTCGAGTCGTCTGCACATCCATAGGGCGAGGGGATAGGCTGAAGGCTTGGCGAGAATATACCAACTCCAACTTGGTCAATTTCGTGGTCAACAGCCCCGGTCAACGCCTTGGTCAACGCTTGGTCAACGTCAATCAACGCCAGACAGCTCGCCGGTCAACTCTCCGGTCAAAGTCTTGGTCAACGTCGGTCAACCCTTCGATCAACACCTTAGTCAACCCTTGATTCAGCTATGGCTGCCGCCACTCTCTTCCTCACCAACCATCGCTTCTCTTTCCCCCACCTTTCTTCTTCCTCACTTTCTTTCTTTCTGCACCCCCGGATATGTCTCCTTTTTCTTTTTTTTTGGTAGTCTCCTCCTTCTTCCTCAGCTATGGCTTCTCTCTCCTTCGTCCCTCCTTCCTTCTCCCTCGCTTCACCTTTCTTCCTCTCGATAACCCTGTGTCCGAGCTCCGCGGCTATGGCCGTTTTCTCCTTGGTCCGCACAACAATCTTGTATCGCTCCTCTCTCTCTCTCTCTCTCTCTCTCTCTNTCTCTCTCTCTCTCTCTCTCTCTCTCTCTCTCTCTCTCTCTCTCTCTCTCTCTCTCTCTCTCTCTCTCTCTCTCTCTCTCTCTCTCTTCTTCTCTTCTTCGTCATTGTCTTCTGTGCAGGTACGCGGCACCTCCTTCCACAGCGCAGCTATGGCGGACTCCTCTTCTCCGATGGTGCACCTCGGCTATGGCGCCTGACTGGCGCGCGACTCCTTCCCTACTAGCAACGACTATGGCGCGTGGGGTAACGGGAACCAGCTCCGATACCAATGCAATCAGACTCGCTTTCACTTCCACTTCACATACATGCAAACAGATGGGGATTCACACTGGCGCAGGGCGTCCACTCAAAGCTTAGAGATATGGAAATCAAGAACACAGTTCAGATGCAAGTTCACTTCCACAGGCTATGGGGCATCGGCGCCTGAACATCCCAACCTTCGTCACTGTGTCCAACCCCACTGTTCACACACGCTCACTCTGGATCACCCTGAATACCACCACACACACACACTTAATCTCACTTCCTCCTACAGCGGCTATGGCCGCACTACCACTACTGACTATGGGTACGATCACCCTTCAGCCCACTTCGTCTTCGGGCAACCTGCAGACCACCTTCGCACAAGACACTGTAGCAGCGCTTCCGCATGGCTTACGCAGCGAATGAATGAATGGCTGGGCGCTGCCTCTTGATTTATACTTCTGTAACTCGTTGGTCTGCCCCTTTCCCAGGCCCTTCGTGTACACAGTCCCACACGATACTTGCTTGACTGGACTCTGGCTGACTGGGACCGGTACTGCTGACTGCATGGGTTTGCACTGCCAACTGGATGCAGTCGCACTGCCAACGTAATGCAGTTGGGCTCACCACTTGCCCACTTGCCTCTGACTAAACGTGAGACACTTCAAAAGGACACTTCCGGACCTTCCGGAAGTCTGTGGACTTGGCCTTTCGGGTACTGTAGCAGCTACGACCTTGACCTTTCAGAGCATCTACAGCCATGTCCTCTATAGAGCTGTGACTCCTAATCGACAGACCTACAGATCAAACCCCCACCGCTACACAGACCTACGACAGACGACAAACAACTACCAAAACACAGATCACGGGTTCAAACACTCGGGGGTCGACTCAATACTGTACATGGGCAAAGTGAGGTCTGGGGATCGAATGCTAGGCCCCGCATCTGTGACTGCAGAAAGGTGAAAACCGTTTCAATACTAACACTCGGACATTTCCTGCTGAGCTCTGGACGTGATTATGGTCAGATTCATCGAGGTTTGGCCATAACTGCAGTCAGATGCACTGAGGAAAGGGCTGGTGTGAGTATGCCACTGAATTCGGAAAATGAGTGGGAAGCATACATTCTACGTCGCCCGCGTGTGCATAACCCGAATGGATCTCTCTCTCTCTCTCTCTCTCTCTCTCTCTCTCTCTCTCTCTCTCTCTCTCTCTCTCTCTCTCTCTCTCTCTCTCTCTCTCTCTCTCTCT